TGGAAGAAGAGGAGAGGTGGCCAAGCGATGACTTGGTCAAGAGGAATGAAGGCCCTCACTTCTGTGCTGGCCTCGGTTGGAGCTTCACGGCTCCCTGGTTGGGGTCCAAAAGACGATGAACACGTTTGGCTGGATACACTTGCTGACATGCCAAGTGGCGTTCCTATTGTGAGTTTCTTTGTCCCTTCCTATCCCTTTTAGCCTCCACCTACGATCTCGTTTCCTAGCGCAAAACAATAATTTTTTTCTTTTTGCCTAGTAGTCGGCTGGTAGCTTACCGGAATGATGCCCATCCGTTGCTGGTAGCTCAGCTGGCATGTAACTTTTGTATTTATTTTCCTTTTTCATTTCTGTATTGCGGCACAGTAGCTGAGATGTTTCCCACCTCTAGCTGACGTGCATAATGATAATGATGATGTATAGCTAGGCATCTGTATGAGAAAGAAAAGCATTAGGACAAAATTGAAAACCCACCACCTGAAATAAATAGACTTAGCATGCAAACACGCGGTTAGTAAATCGAATGCAGCGCACCTACAAACGCTGCGCCGGTTCTGCCTACGTTCTCTGCAGGACCCGTCGTCGCTTCGGTAATGGTACCGAGTGGCCTCGCTCATGGTTCACTAAGCCTGCCTGACTCAGGCACTCGCGACCGCATGTGCTACAGCACCACTGCACGCGCCACTGGTGTCGGTTGCGAGCCATGTCCTGTAAAGTCTCGAGCCAAGCACAAGGTGAGTCACGTGGACTCCAGCCCGGAAGGTGAGACGGACCAACGGCACCCAGTTTGATCGTCAGTGACTTCATTTCCCGCTGCCAACTCAACTTCTGTCCACCTCGAGCCTTGCTCCATCCTACACCTGGTAGACAAAACAAGGTCCTCCTAAGTAAGCGGTGACTAGGCATACGTAGCACGTGTCCGAGCCAACGCAACTTATTCAGTGTTATCTGTTGTTCTAGAGAGCTAGCATGATTATCACCACCTAGTACTCGCCTACGCACATCATCGTTGCGGACACGCTGGTGCCATCCGACACCAGCAATGCTTCGCAAACAACGATGATCAAAGACTTGAAGGCGCCTCAGATCTTCAGACCGAAGGCGCCAAGTCTCACTACCATACAGCAGAACGGCCCTCACTGTGGCCTTGTATACACGGCCTTTCAGACGGAGGGAAACTCCCTTCTGTCACCAAAGATGACGCAGGTTCAAGAAGGCAGCTCTGGCTTATGCAATGCGTGAGCTCACGTCAGTTTCTATGCGACCATCATTGCTGATGCAGCTGCTAAGATAAGTGAATTGATCAACCACCTCGAGTTCTTCGTTAGCAAGCGTCAAGGGGTCATCAAGTGGCTGGTGGTCCTGCAGCAACACTTTGCACTTTGAAGGTGCGAAGTGCATACCAAATAATGGGACCACTCTGGACAGGCTATTCAGGGTTGATTGTGCCGCCCCAACATTGTCGAAAAGCAAGACGATATCGTCCACATAATCTAGATCAACTAACCTTTCACCAGGTAGCACTTCAACGCTTACATCGTGAGATTCCGCAAGGGAACACTCCACGATAGAATCCACAACGAAATTGAACAAAAACGGGGAAATCGGACAACCCTGACGAACGCCACTTGTAGTTGAAAAGCTATCCGATAGGGCACCATGGACCCTGACGCGGCCTGTATTGTTCGAGTATAGAGCACGAAGGATGTTCACATATTTCGTCAGAACGCCTTTCCGCGGAAGTATTTCGAACAGAATCGATCGATCGACTGAATCGAACGCACTCTTGAAATCGAGGAACACAGCTATTGTCGGTCTGCGGTATGCGTGGCGCTGCTCTAGCACCTTCCGCAAGGTAAATATGTGGTCTATACAGCCACGTCCTGGGCGAAAACCGGCCTGCTCTTCCCTAATCCGAGATTCCCGTTCTACAGTGAGGCGACGAACAATAATCGAGGCCAGTAATTTTGTCACAACTGGCGTTAGGCTAATACCCCTGTGGTTCGCACAGTCTGTGCGACTGCCCTTTTTGTATATTGTCACTATAATCGATTCGCTCCAATTAGCCGGCACACTCTTCGTCCCAGATACGTTCGAATAGGGAGGTCAGTGCCCTGCAGAGGACCTCACCTCCATCCTTAAATAGTGCGGGTGGGAAGGAATCCGGGCCAGCGGCACGAAAACGATTGAGGGCTGCGATCGCGTTTCGGACCTCGGCCTCCGACGGAGGTTCTAAACTAACCGTCCATGGCACGTCCTGCATCACCTGAGTAGGAAGAGGTCCGGGAGCAGGGGGCCAGCTGAACTGATCTTCAAGTGTTCAGCCCAACTAGCCATACGGCGCTCCTTACTGTGTATCAGCGCACCCGCACTGTCCCTGCTTGTCTCACTGACGCCTGGTTTTCTGGGACCAGTGGTGCGGATTAGCTGGAAGAGCTTCCGGTAATTGCCTACCGCTCCTGCCTCCTCCATTTCTTGAGCCCGACTGGTCCACCAGGCTTCCTTGTCAGCACGTAGGCTCCGCTTTAGTTCACGCCTAATAGCCCGTCTGGTCACATTGTGTTCAGAACCAGCTGAGAGGTGTCTTCTAGCTTCCAACAGGTTCACTGACCTCTCGGATATCCAGTGACTGGTGCGGTGACGATGGATAGTGCCACAAGCAGATGCTCCTGCGTCGTGCATGGCGGCCGAGATCCTCTTCCACTGAAGTTCAGTGTCATTAGAACAAGACAGCGAGAGTTCGCTATGCAGTGCTTCTTGATAGGCTTGCCTGACCGAGGGCTGGGACAATTTCTCCGTTGCCAATCGGGGGAGACGCTTTGTGTGCCTTCCGGTAAAGTTCATAGAGAAACGACAGCGCACCAAGGCATGATCAGAGTCGACACAGGTACTCCAGTACGAGCGGCAATCCAGAATAGAACCGCGCCACCTGTAACTTATGGCTATGTGGTCAATTTGGGTCCATCGCTGGCCAGCTACAGGTGGACGCCAAGTGGCACTTCGGCGCCCACTGTGTCTAGAAGCAGTGCTAGTAAGAAACAACTGGTGCTCCGCACACAGTTGCAGCAGACGCTCGCCGTTGTCAGTCCGTTCGGAGTTAAGTCCATAATTACCACCCACCTGAGCTTCTGAAGAGCTCAGGCGCCCTACTTGTGCGTTCATATCCCCTGCAAGTACTATAATATCTGAACTATTAGCACTGCGTAGTAGGGTGTTCAGTTCGTGGTAGAAAGTGTCCTTGACTGCATTAGAACTGCAGTTGGTGGGAGCATAAACGGAAATCACAAACAAACAGCGTTTTGTTTTACTTCGCGAATTCACCTTAGCTGATGTCGTCAAACGGGCTGCACATAAACGGCTGTTCACCGAAATCCAATCAACCAACGATGGCTCAGCCTTGGAGCTGAGAATGATACCTACACCAGCTTGACCCGTGAGTGCCGCATCGGCGTCCCCGGATGCGTGCAACCAATAACGAGAGGATAAGCCGGGTGCAGTCAATTCAATAACCCCGTTAGGGTCATTGATCCTAGTTTCGGACACATAACACACATCAACACCCAGTGTGTCTAAGGTGCGTGCGAGTGCAGCTTTTGTTGTATAGTTCGTGATCTGGTCTTCGATCCCAAGGGCGCTGATACAACTTCCCAGGTAGTTGAATTTCCGAACGACTTCTAGCTGATCCTCACCAAGGGTCAGCGCAACAGGCGATCCCTGCCAATCTTGGAGGAACGCTTTGTATTTCGATGGTGCAAAGCAAAGCCCGAAGCGGCTGACAGCCAGTGCTAATCTGTCCAGCGCGGCTTGGCACCTCTGGGAGCTGTCATAGGTGACGGCAATGTCGTCTGCATACTCCAAGTCGAGAAGTCGTTCTCCTTGGAGTAGCTCCACACCTTCCAAGTCGTCCTTTAAATGCAATCTCCATGACTTCGTCAATAGCGAAGTTGAAGAGGAAAGCTGACAGCGGGCATCCATGTCTCACACCGCCTACCTATACTCTCTTCTATAAACTTGCACACGCCGCTTAAGCCAATTGTAGTTAATTTCGGTAACATTTTCGTGTTTGTGACATTTCCGTAAAATATGCTTTCTCACCTCGTGAACTTATCTCGGATTATTTTGTAAATAGCTTATTTCATATGCTCATTAATTTTAGATTTGTCACCGTTTTCTTATGCATTACTCGATTTATTTTCTTTGTTATCTTTCTCTCAGGTGATTGGCTGTTGCTTGATATCTCCGGTGTGGCTGCGCTTGATGTGCATGTTGACAAGGTGCCTACCTCGTTCCATACCTACGTTCCATGCCTACCTCATCCATACTGGCTGTAGGAGACAGTTGGTCGTTGCTGTGAGGGACGAGGTGCACGGTCCTTGTGGCTGTGTTAGGATCAAAGAGTGGTTCCATGCACTCAGTATGGAGCGGACTATGGTCCAGTCACCGCCTTGTATGCACTTGATTCCCAAATACAGCGTGTTTGTGTTTGCCTGTGAAGGAGTGTGGGCCGGCTCCATTCATGAAACGTCGCTGCTATCCACATGCCTCCCGGTCTTATTCCTTCGGGTTTACACTGCATATGGGGTGTGTGGATGGAGCTACGGGTGGTGCAGCGCAAGCCACCCATGCTCCCTCTGTAGGCGCAGGAGTTCTGTGGCTGGCCACAGTGACAGGCAAGTCCGAAACCGGATGCCGCCAACTATATATCTTAACTTTCTGTATGACAGTGAGGCATAGACACTAAATACTGTTGTGCTGTTGCTACCTTCGTCTCTTTACTTATAATGTCATAAACCATTTATTTTCGTGACTACGCGAGTCATGACTGGTTGGCTTGCTCTGTACTCCTAGCTAAGTAACTGTGCTGTGCTCTTGATTTTGTTCATTTTGACCAACTCTGTTTCTCTCCACAGGAACTTAAAATGAACAAAGAATTGGATAATATTTTCTTGGGTGCTTGTATCACACTTATCGTCGGCGCACCTTCTTGACTGTTGTATTTCATGTTCAAACGTGCTTCACTTTCTCCACCACGCAAACCTCTCCCTCGTGATCTTTTACTCATGAAAAAGAAGGGGAAGAAATCTGACACGAAGAGGAGCAAAAGAGGAATTAAAAGCAAGGCTTCATCGGAATGTTTTGAAGGTCTGGATTATTCCCGTAATTTCTTTGGATCTTTAGAACATATTACTGAACCCTCATTGGAAAATTTCACCGAGGAAACTAAGACTGACAGCGAAGATCATTCATCGAGTGCAGATGATGCCTTTCACAACACTGCATGTGACTCGCTTACTTCAAAACACACCAGTGCTTCAAATGGTGTTGTCACTACCAATTTATCACAAGAAGGGTGTTGCGAAGAAAACGCACCATCACCTGATTTGCCTGAAAACCTGTGCAATGTGTCGAACATACATAATGAGGGCGCTGAGGGCACATCCGAGTCCAGCCAGGTCACCGACGTTATTTCCGACGCTTTGATGGCCCCCGCTTTGATTGAACCTACCAGTTCTGTTCGGTCAACTTCCTTGAAGACCAAACGACCAAAGAGACGAGTTGTTAAACGACCTTCAAATTCTGTGGACATTTCAGTCAATTCGCCTTCGACATTGCAACCGCCAAACCTTTCCCATGTATTTGAGCCTGTGAAAGCATTTGTCAACTCCTCCGTTACACAGTCGATAACATACAATCCAAACTATTCTTTGGAAGGCAAACGTTTGGTGAATTCTCGACCGCAGATCGTCAAACTAACAGAACAACTAACGGTACACTTTCCCTCACGCTGTTATTTTTTGTTGGCTCTACCTGCATCTTATCAGTCGTCCTACTTAGCACGTTTTGTCCATGTCACGTCTGTCTTTGGCACCTTAGATAATGCTAATTGCCTTACAACAACCGTTACCTCTTCACTGTACACTTATTCAGATTGATACCCGTAACTTAGCTAGTATATAGACAATATTTCAAGCGGTTTCATTACATCCGAATCTGAATACACATCCGGAAAACGCTAGGCGAATGTTTTGTGCTGTTGGGGCTCATGTTTTTGGACCAACACACCAGGCAACGTGTAGTCCGTGTCTGACGGCACCTGGCTGCGGCAACCTACCTGAGCAAGCCACTTATTGTGATCTAGAGAGTATCCTCCTTCACCGTCAAGCGCGTGGCAACTGTGCAGAGAACAGATTTATCTCCCACAGACGTGGTCTTGATCACCAGACCTCTGGATGTCCTATGGCGATTGTTAATGTTAATGAGGTAGGGATATTTAAGCCTAGCGTTTGCTACGCTGCCAACTAATTGCGGCTCTTCAAATCTGTCTGTTATCCTATGAACATTTTGCTTCCACAATTAGGCTGACTATTAGTATTCATCAGGGAAGCCACTTATTATTACGTACTGGAAACATCACCTTTATGTGTGGTGCGACGTCTGTAGCCTAATTGCCCAGCTCGGCCTTAAAACTAACACCCGACTAGCCTGTATCTATTTGGGAATCTAATTGGCAATGCTGTTATATCAGCTGGCTCTCCAACTAGCCCACTATTGCCACAGGGAATCGTCTTATATTTCACCCATTTATACTTGCTGTCACTTTCTCCATAACTCCGCGTACCGGTTACCCGAGAATGCCGTGCTCGCATCCATTTGTACGAATTCTTAAGGTAGTCAGTAAACGACATGTCATGTATGTGCAAAAATTTCCTGGCATTGGCTTCGGGATTTATTATATCTGTGATCGGTTACAATTTTTGTGTTTTTGTTCGTTTATTCACTTTTCCTGCTTACGATTCCCTTTTATTATCCAGTGGTTCATTGCACCCTTATCTGCTGCACTTTGGTGTCAACCTCACAATCAGTCAACCGGACTGAGTTGCAGCCCTAGCCTCCTTCAGGGACGCTACTCTGGCTGATAAGCGGCATTTTACTGGTCCTATTCGATTCTAGATTGCAGTCCACCTGACACATCTTTAGCGAATTCTCTCCCTTATTCTTGCTGACTATGTGGTACCGACTTGTTGTTTATTTGCGTGTCGCTGAATTCGTACAGTGTTACGAGTTATCAATGCAATGTTTTTATCAGGTTAGCGAGCGTAAGATAGAAGAATTGTTAATGAAGACTTCCATGCTATCCCAAGAAAATGTACACTTGCGGCAAAAAGATGAGGAAAACGCTCTGGGACTGCACGTATTACAACAGCAATATACGGAATTATTGCGCACCAACAAGAAAATGGATCACGAGAAATATTTGAATGAAGTCAAGTTAAAGGTATGTGCCGCCACATTTTTTGCTTGTTGCTTTATTACTTAGTTCCTTTTTGGTTCTGGTTTGCCCTAGGCAATACATCCCACAACGCCAGTTGATGCGTTGTTGAGTAACTGGGAAACGTGAAGATGCAATAATTAGATAACTCTGCTTTTTCACTATCTGACTTACACGCTAGTTTAGTATAATTCACATGCACACCCCTCGGAGCTCGGTTTACACACGCGGACTTCTAGTGAGCAACTACAATGGTCTCAGTGCCTTTTAAATCCACCTGGTAGAATGGACCTAGTGGCCGGTCAATCAATAGTGTACAGTATGCACCACAGCGGGTTGAAGAGAAAGCTGTCGACAGTACACCAGTAGTTTGTTCTGCCGCTTCACTGATATGTAACTAAAATCGGCTGTACGCCACCGGGGATTATTTATGGGGCACTCAAACTCAAGCAAAAATGGGCACACGAACATACAACGTTAGGGTTGCAAAGCAGTAGCCTAAACCACTGCATCAGGCTCCCTACGAAGTTTATACTCCCTGGTACACTGCTACTGAGGCGCATTGTCCCAAAACTAGGTGTGCAGGGAATTGAGCGGAGGGACGAGACATTGCCAGCTACCCGGTAAGACAGGGACCACAATTCTGCCTTGTGGTCGGAAGGCGCGGGTTAGAGCCTGCGTAGGGACTGGGCGACATTCGCAGTATCCTTAGCCCACGTGCGACTGGTGGTGGTCGCGCGGCAGCTAAGCGTCGTTACGACGTACTGCTGACGCCTCCGCCATCTACCCAATCCTGTGCTGTCGAGCTGGAAGCGCAACGGGAAAGAAATAAGCGCATTTCACTCCAGTAGCATTATGCCTTATCGGGTAGCGGGTAACTTATTGTTCTTCCTCCGCTCATTTCCATGCACACCTGGAGTTTTGGGACAACGCACCCCAGTATCAGCTTATTAGGGAGCCTACACTACCTATGGAGCCTGATGTAGTGGTTTAGACTGCTGCTTTGCAACCTTAACTTTCCATGTCCGAGTTCCCGTTTTCACTTGCGTTTGAGTGCCCCGGAAATAATCCCCGGTGCTGTGCAGCCGATTTGAGTTGCGTATCAGTGAAGAGGCAGAACAAACTACTGGTGTACTGTTGTCACCTTTCTCTTCAACCTGCTGTAGTGCACAGTGTCCATAGTTGATTGACCGGTCATTAGGTCCACTACCAAGTGCATTTAAAAGGCCGGTAGCCGAGTGGTCTGCACGTTTGCTTTGCAACCATAAGGTCACCGGTTCGAATCCGCGTAGGGGTGGGCGTCCTCGCGGTATACTCAGCCCGCGCGCGACTGGTGGTGGTCGCGCGGCAGCGAAGCGCCGTTACGGCGAACAGCTAACACATTATTTATTTTATTATTATTATTTAAAAGGCACTGAGACCGTTGGTGGAAATATTCAGGGGGCGTAATCATTAGGCAAAATTGGTAGCAAGTAGATGCATCAGACTAAGTGAATGTGCCCCACTGATTTAAAAACTAAGTCATGTCGATTATGATATCTGTTCACTGGTTCAACGGCTCTCGATGCTGCAGATAGGTGGCTAGCGCGCAGCAGCCTTATTAGGCTGTCATTTGTGCCATATCATCGTCTGACCATCCCACGACTTCACCCAATCGGATGTCAGCAGTGCATGCTCTAACAGCCGGTATGCGGTTTTGTGAAGAGCGTGACGTAGCCAGGGTAGATGGATAAAGCTCATAGCGACACAAGGAGTTTGTTTCTGCTTGGCGACTTGCTCACTAGACTCTCCAATCAGACACAATTGATGCGGCATAATCAGTAATCTTCACGAATAATAACTAGGTACTCACATTTCCGGCGCATAGTAGTGAAATGTTTGACCTACACAGTCACCCTTTATGTACTACAGCCTTGTACACCTTACCTTCAATCGGCATGCAAATATCGCATTGACTCAGCAAATGATTGGGCTGAAGAAGTCAACTGGGTCTTACCGATAGGCGTAATCATCTCTTTAGTGATTTCCGCAACGAGGATTCTGCGACTATATAATCAGAAGATCAGATTCACTACTTACGGTCGGTGCGACGATGGTAAGTGTTGTTCGGACGTCAGCTCAGTGTTGCAGGAGTGCTTTGCTTTTTGAACAAATAAGCGCATATCGTGGCTCACGGCACTCTGCATCAGTTTATCTGAGAGCGCTCTTGTGAATCCTACGTTTATGTTTTTTATCATTCGATTGCTTACCAGAACTCCTACTCCAGGTGTGTTGGGAAGAGCAGCTTCGTGTTACAAAAGTTAAAAATACATAGGAATATGTTCTGTTCACCATCTTTATATAGAATCACTGCATCAAATGGACGAAAGAAGTCCTCACGCCTATCATCATCATCATCATTACACGTTAGCTGGAGGTGGAAAACACCTCAGCCATTGTGCCGCATATCACCCGTCCGTTTGACGTTGTTACTACAGTTGACATAGGATAAACATATGATAAATACATCTTCGTAACGGCCTAGACCAGTTTCGCTTTCTTACTTGGTGTTCGCGACGACAGGTAACCCATGGTTGAATGGTGCTTGAATACGATTACAACAGGGTTGACGCTTCGATGATTTCTGCCCAGCATCTTTGGTATATTTTACGATGGAATTAGTTGTTATCAATCCATCGCAATGAGGCTGAACCTTACCGTGGTGCGATGGTTTGTGTGCCACAGAGATCCATTGAGCTATTCTGGGTGTTGCTTTTTTGCACCTTCTGAGTCACTCCTACCAGCTTGGTCAATAGTTAGAGATCTGACAAATTCAGCCTCCTGGTCCTCCAGGTTAGGGGTTGGAATGAGGATAGCTCCTTATTTTTTAAAACGAACTCCTTGTAGCCTAGTGCCAAACCCGCTGCTTTGCGGTCAGGTTTTTGAACCAAAGACTTTGGTTGAGAACCCTAATCGTTCTCTTGTCTAGGCCTGGGCAGCCTGACGGTATCCTGCCCACGCAATACAATGAATTTTTCTTCAAACAGTTTCCTAATGCTCTGGCCGTCGCAGAGCACACTAAACACTGCATCGAACAGGGTGGATAGAGGTTTGCATGCTACTGCTCAAACCTTCCTGTCTTCTTTTTCTCTCTCTTATGCTTTTTCACCCTTATCGTCTCTTTCCAACTTCACTTTTCTCCCCCCAGTCTTCAAGCCCCCGATTCTTTTCCCTCCCCCAACATGATTTGCTAGACGTTTATCTTTTAGTTTCAGCTCACATGCAAACGCGGAGCGTCACACATGTCCTGTGGACAAGCCCATGTTTAACCAAGCGGTCTACCCCAGTTCATCGGCTTCCATTTGGAGCCCTCGATCCTCCTTCAGATTGACATGCCTCAATGTACGCACATTGCTACAGATCGGTCAACAGGCAGCACTTACCCGAACATTCGAGACCCTCTCCATCGATGTCTGCTGCTTTTCGGAGACCCGCCTGCAAGACTCGATCTCTGTGCCCACACTGGGATCCCCTCCAGGTGACACCAGCAGTACTTTCTCATTGCACCTATCCGGTGACGATGTAGCTTCGAGCACCTACCAAGCTGGTGTTGGCATTGCCCTGAGTTCCCGGGCTGAAGTTGCTCTGATTGATTGGATCCTACTCAGTAGCCAGATGTGTGCGGTCCGATTGCCTGGCTCGTTCAAAGTTTCATAGTCGCAGGAGACTAATAGGTGTCTGTTCGTCATCGCTGCCTACGCGCCTGCAAACGCTAGCGAGGCTTCGGTACAAATCGAATTCTACCGCCAACTGACCGAGCTCTTTCACCACAGAAGCAGCTCGGAGACTGTTGTGCTGGCGGGGGATCTGAGCGTACAAGTTGGAAAGTTGTCCTCTGATGAAGTACATCGGTATAGGTTCTCGTAATGATAACTGTGAGCGGTTACTTCATTTGTATGAAGATGCCCGCTTATTTCTTGCGAGCACTAACTTCGATACAGCACCCGCCGGAAGGTGACATGGCGCCCATCAGCCTTGGACGCAAATTGAGCACATTGCAATCAGTTACCGATGGAGAGGCTGCCTCCAGAACTGTCTCTCGATTTGGAGCACATGTGTGAACACCAACCATGCACTTGTATGCGCTGACATGCGGATGCGTTTTGGCGGACGCCCACGACGACGCTGTGAGCGCATTGACACCAGTCAACTGGCGAAGCCAGCTGTTCTGGATGCGTATCGAAATACGCTGACATACGGGTTGAGTAAGCGCTCACTGGAGACAATTGAAGGTCACTGGTCGCATGTTCACCAGACCTTACTAGCAGCAGGCAAATCCTCATGTGGTAAGTCTAATAGGCAACATGGACATCGGGTATCTTCTCGGTCTCTGGAACTTATCGATGCTCGCCGGCCTATTCCGGCTGGAAGCGAACACAATGAAACTCGCAAATAGCTCCGGATAAAACTCCGCGCTAGCCTGAAGGGAGACCGCGAATCCTGGTGGTCTAATCATGCAACAGACATGGAAGTGGCCGCCGCCGTTGGTAACCATCGTAAGTTGTTCGTCTGATACGGGAAACGGGCAGCAGGAGACCTGGTGTTAGTGAAACAATACGTGACGAGAGTGGACAGCCTATCCACAATTTGTCAAAACGTTTGGAGCGTTGGTTTGAGAATTTTAAAAATCAATTTAATCTGCCGAAATTGTTCGATTCTTCACCGGCCAGTGATCGCTCTTCTCCGTGGACTGTCCATTGAATCCGCCCTCTCGCTCAGAAGTCGAACCTATCGGACGTTTGAAGTTGAACAAAGCTGTGGGACCAGATGATCTTCATCTAGCTCCCTTCAAATTCGGGGACCTGCTCTTGTTGATGATTTACCCGAATTACTACTGAAAGTGTGGGAGCAAGAAACTGTCCCAAGCAACTGTCCGACTGGAGCCGCTCCGTTATTGTTCCGAACTTCAAAGGGGGCTCGCGTTCGGAATGCGGCAACCATAGAGGAATCAGTCCGTTCCTTATCGC